TCAAAAACAAAAATTCCACAGTGATGAGAGTATGTCAAAGGAACATAGGAGCCAACTGGAAGAGCTCCCAATGACCACAGCTGGAATAATTTGAGAAACTCAATTTTTTTATTTTCTCAAGCAAAGTAACTTTGGATTATAATTCAAAGTATACAATAAATATCCATGAGTCCATACTGATATAAATAAATGGGGGAGATACACAAATCTTCCATGCAGAATTCCAAATAGTTGATATATGTACTTTACCCTTTGGAAGGCAGAGCATAACTCCCTACTCCTGAAGTGTGTGCTGTACACAATGACTTCCATTCAAAAAGTACAGTATGGGAGGGAGGGAAAGAGTAACTTTACAGTGGAGAGAACTGACAAACACCATCTCAACCCGATGATCAAGGTCAACATCAACAGTCATAATAAATCAAGTTGATAGTATGTGCCCTTGATACAATGTGATGAAAATGGCAGTTAATTTCTGTGAGTTTCCTTCCAATCTAATCATGAGAAAAACTGCAGACAAATTTCAATTAAGGGACATTCCATAAAATATCTAACCAGCACTCTTCAAAACTGCCAAGATCATTAAAAAAAACTCTTGGAAACTGTCACAGCCAAAATGTGCCTAAGGAGACATGACCACTATTAATGTGGTGTCCTGCAACTGAAAGGACATTAGGTAAAATCCAAGAAAATCTGAATAAAGTATGGATTCTGGTTAATCTTATCAGTATCAGTTTATTAATTGTAACAAATAGACCAGACTAATGTAAGCTGTTAATAATAGAGGCTACTGGATGTGGGGTAGATGGGAGCCCGCTGTACTATGCTAATAATTTTATATAAATCTAAAACTGTTCTAAAATAAAAACCTGATTTTTTTTTAAAAAGGCAGAAAAATTGAACAATAGAAAACATGCCTATTTTGACTTTGGCACTGGGTGAAGAAAAACTAAGAAAAGGAAAAACAAGTTTTGGAAATTTGTATCAGAAGCTGATTCTAACACTAATTTTTCATTCATCATATTACCTGTTTTGTCTAGAAAACCTCCTGTAAAAAAATTAATGTAAAGCAGTTTGGAGTTTGTCATGACCCCAGACAATTCTCAAAAGAAAATTCAAAATCAAAAGATTCAGCCTCCATCCTGGCCTCAAAGATGTCCCAGAAATAAAGCTCCCCCTCAAAAGTATCTCATAGTCAAAAATTATAAACCCACACAAGAAAACAAGGCAACATGGGTAAGAGCTAGCAGTAATCGATCCAAAATATTTTAGAGACTGGGATCATAACATGCAAAATAAAATAGAAAATTATTATTAATATGCTTTAAAAGTTGAAACAAAAAATAAAATAGAAGCTTGAACATTTTGGCAAATAAATGGAAATTATAAAAGATGACAGAGATTACCTGCGAAATCAACAAATTAATTTTTTAAAATTTCAAATTCAACAAATACTTTTTGAGTTCTCCCTATGTGCCAGGGCATGTATTAAATACTTGCACATATATTATCCATTTTTACTTTCATAACAACAAATAATTCTGTTAATAAGTACCAAAGTTATAAAAACCTTCATACTAAAATATTTTATTATTTTTATTTTCTCTACAATCTGGATACTTTCTTCTGTTCTGTTTTCCAGTTCACAAGTTATCCCGTCACCTGTACCAAATCTATCATTATTCATATCTGTTGTGTTCTTATTTTTGGTTATTAGTAATTTTTTTCTGGTTTTGGAATTTCTATTTTTCTTTTTGTTCTGGCCTTTTTATTTGAGAAGTTATTTTTAGGAAAATTTCTGCTTGCTTCTTCCAGGTATCTTAATCTACCAGTCTAGTACCACCCTATTCTGAGTTCAAAGATGGAGGTTGTCCCAAATTACAGATGATTGCAAGCTGGCTGCGAGTCAGTAGGAGTACTGATTTATTTCTGCTTCACCATTTTCATGAGGGCAAAGTCCTCTAAAGCCCCAGCTTAAAGACAGGGGGTGTTTATTTACTTATTGAGCCCAGGCTTTGTCTTCTGCCCCTTTTTTTCACAAAACTATCAAACAGCTGCTCAGTTTTGCAGCTGTTTCTTCCAGAGCAACAAATGCCTTCAAAAGCAGCCTTAAGTGCTGGGCTCACTTCTCTAGGTTCATGTCTTTTCCTTGATTTTGACCTAGTAATTTCTCACTATCATATTAGCTAGTGACCTGAAAGGTTTCTGCTTTCAGGTCTGAGTTGAGCTCAGAGAAGAAGTTGACCCAAGTGAAAAGAGGCCATTAAGCAGGCAGGCCCAACTTTCCTCTCTGGTTACACATTTGTTTTTCCCATTAGGACCCTTTCACTTCAACATTGTCCTAGCCATGACTGGCTCCAGGAAATAAGTATTACATCTTTAAAACTTTAGCTCACGACTATACAAAAATCTTTCTCCTTTAGTTCCCCTTAACACATTGTCCTAGCCATGACTGGCTCCAGGAAATAAGTATTACATCTTTAAAACTTTAGCTCACGACTATACAAAAATCTTTCTCCTTTAGTTCCCCTTAACATCCGAAAGAGGATGACATTTTCAAAACCACAGAGTCGAAACACTGAAGTCCATAAAAAGTAAAAGTAGAGAATTTTTAAAATCATGATAGCCATTTTTCAAAGAACTTGGCTTTGTTTTCTGATCCTGAAGTGAAAGCTGGTGCTTCTAAATTCCCATCAGGAGGAGAAGCAGCCCTGATAGTGATGATTGACAGGCCTAGCAGGCATGAAACAATGAAAGGCCTCATGCTGCCTGGTTAAGGGCTCAAATTTATGCCTTTCTCTTCAGATGTCTAATGCCTATCCCAGCCCAGAGCAGGTTGGTAAGGGTGCTGAGGCAGGACACTTTCAAAATCTCTCTCAAATCACACCCGAATAATTAAGAATCTCTCTCTTTGCATGGCCCTTCACACTTTAATGAAGGGCTTTAGGACATTGACCAAGCACCCATATTCTCCAGCTTCTCTGTCCAGCATAATAGCCACCAGTCATGTGTGACTATGAAGCACCTACATGTGGCCAGAATGAACTGATTGAGCTTTAAGTAAAAACTATGCATCAGATTTTGAAGACTTAGTATGAAAAAATATATAAAATATCTCAATAATTTTTATATTGACTAGGTGTTAAAATGATATTTTAGATATATTAGATATATTTTAGATAAATAATATATTTAGATATATTTTAGATAACTAAATATATTTAGATATATTTTAGATAACTAAATATATTTAGATATATTTAGATATTTTAGATATATTTAGATATTTAGAAATATATTTCATCTGTTTTTTACTTTTTAAAATTTGACTACTAGAATATTTAAAATTATACAAGTGACTTGCATTATATTTCCATTTGACAGTGCTGCTCTAGGTGATCTTAGTTCTAAATAGTGAATCTCTTCCTGCTGAATGGTTATTTTCTCAACTAGAATGTGTATTAAGCATCTCCAGAAAATTCCTTTGAAAATGTTTGCCATTAACTACCAATGAAATTAATCAAATAATTATAACTCTTTGGATCTGAGTTTCTTCACATCCAAAATGAAGAGGTTAGACCAGCAGTCTCCAACCTTTTTGGCACCAGGGGGTATGGTTTCAGGATGACACTGTTCCATGCCAGATCATCAGGCATTAGATTCTCATAAGGAGTGCACAACCTAGATCCCTGGCATGTGCAGTTCACAATAGGATTCGTGCTTCTATGAGAATCTAATGCCGCCACTGATCCAACAGGAGGTGAAGCTCAGGCCGTAATGCTTGCCCGCTGCTCACCTCCTGCTGTGTGGCCAGGTTCCTAACAGGCCACTGACTAGTACCAGTATGCAGCCCAGGGGTTGGGGACCCCAGGGTTAGACTGTATCTCCTCTATAGTTTCTTCAGTTCTATGATTATTTCATTATAATTGTTTTAAAAAAAAATTTTAAGTATGCTCTATGCATAAGGATATACTTAGTTTTTAAAATTATAATGTATATATGTAATTTTTAAACTTTTTTTAAAACAAAAAAATAATATTTCCTTGTTGATATAAAGACAGACACGAAGTTATTTTATATAGCCACGCATATGTTAAAGTTGCACATTCATTTACTATATTGCTATTATAAATTTTCCCATGAAATGATTTTGTTATGAAGGTTTTTAAATTTTAAAGGTTTAGCCTATTGCTTCATTATTTATTCCCTATAATTGGTCCCTTAGCTTTTCTTCCATAGGTCATCCTTATTCTTCATCTATTTATGCCCCCTATATTCTCCTTTGACCATTTCTGGTTACATTTTATCTTATCCTTACTTTGCCATGTCCTCCGATTTTCTTTCATGACTAAGCTCTCTTGTCACTTCTCACTAACCCTGTTTAGGAAGATTTCCACCCTGGCCACACTCTTCCTATCCTTTAGACTGGGGCCTTCCTGGTCTCATCCCTTTCAAAACAAACTTATCTGAAAATATCTAATAATAAGGACATTTCAAGGTGAATTCAGGTCTTTACTGTTACTTCTTCCTAGCAGGGTAGGGGACAGGTATTTGCTTTTTAAATCTTAACTCTCATCCTGAAATGAAAACCTTTATTTGTATTAAATTGAATGGGATGTTCCTATTCTATATTTAAATTTTCCTAAAATCCATTATAGTATGTGTCTTCTCACATGTTTTTGAAAGCATTCCCCTGCACCTATTCTTCCATGTGAAAACATGAAACCTACAGTGTGCTAAGGAATATCCTGACTGCTAAAGAAACCAATTCAACCTTAATGTTTGGAGAACACTGGATTTGGAGTAAGATGATCTAGGTTTATATCTTGAGGTATCATCCATTTCAAGTGCAAATAGATGGACAAATCCATGGACATATCCTTCATTCTCTCTAAGCCTGGGTTTCCTAATCTTCTGAAAGGAGCTATAAATAACACCTGATACACTTGCTGAGTGTATTTCTGAGCCTCTAAAGAAATAATGAACATGGAAGTACTTACCAATGTTACATAGCCTTAGTGATCTTGGGCATCCTGAGATTTCATTAAATTTCGTTGCTAGTTCCATTTTCCCTTCCTTGGGTTTGAAAAAAAATACATTGACCCATTCAATTCAGACAAGAATAACTAAGAGTTTTCAGAATAATGAAAAGTTTCAAGTTAAGATAACACAGTCACCCTCTTCATGCAAACATGAGAGCTATGAAACACTTATTAGAACTAATATCCCAGGTGACTATATACAATTCATCTATGAAGCTCAATTTGTCAAGAAACAGCATAATGGTTTTATAAAATTCAGTTGGAACCTGGACGGAGGGATGTAGATGCGCATTAAATTCATGGAATATTAAAGTAGCAAATTAGCGTTAAAGTGATGAAAGTAAAGTGCAAATAAAAGACTTCAAGAATTAAGTAGTCGCCTCCATGTATTAGGAAGGAATTCTTCGGTTAAAATAAATCAAACACAAAATTCAAGTGCTTAAAACAAATCACTCGAGATGTCAGTTGGAAAATATTCTTTTCTATTATTTCCTCTATGAAATGAAGAGAGACAGAAATTCTGTCATCAATGACTCTTGGAATTTGGTGGAAAAAGGAAAGAATCCGGAGTCAGTCCCATTGAGTTTCGTTCCAGCTTCTCTTAGAAGCTCTTCCCTTCTCCCAGAAGGGAGGCAGCACTGTCCGCTCGCCTGACTAGCAGCTTTTTAAGGACCCATCGCGCTTGGAAAGCCAGGTACAAGCAGATGCTGTTAATCACCACAGGAACCGGGGCTGAGCGATGAAATCCAGCTCCTCCCAGCTGGAAGACACTAGGGTGCACGGAGAGAAAAGCAGTTCTCTTTACCCCAAGTTTATTTCTTTTTCATACCACTTCAAATTTGAGTAAGAGGAAAGAGGGCCAAGGGGATTTAAGGAACCTGGATGATGAACTCCCAGCTGTTTACAGTTCCTTCGTGATCTCTTTGGTTCATTCATTCAACCAGTATTTCCGGGCTGCAACTTGGGTGCCGGGACCTGGGGTAAGGCAGTGGGACTACAAAGAGGAAAGGACTCAGAATAGAGGGGGCACTGGACGCATAACTGCGGGATAGCGAGGTCGCGCTCGCGCGTGGCGAGGTTGAAGGCAGCCGAGGAACCCCCACAGGGCGGCGCCTACCGCCGCCGCGCCCATCCCCCACTCCGACGGCCACCAGTTCGGGCCACGACGTCCCCATGGCAACAAGCGGCGGCGCTGAGCGCTGGGAGGGAGAGGCCCAACTGCCTGGTTGGTTGCGCGGCAGGAGGGCCCAGGCGGCGGGAGCGCAGAGGCGGGTGGCAAGGCCCCTTGGGGCAGGCCTGGCCAGGTGGGAGGTGACCTACGCGGTCCTGCGCCCCCGGCCTCAGACCTCTCGGGCGAGCGCCGCGCAGCGCAGGTAATGGCTCTTGGCCTTCCCGGCCCCGCCTCGCCCCTGACCCTCACCCAAAGGCCAGGCTGTCCCCCGGGCTGGCGCGGGTCCTTAAGCGGGACAGGGGGACCCCAAAAGGGCGACCGCTCTGCGGGAAGCTGGGCTTGAACCAAGCGCGGGTCCTGGAGGGGCGCGTGGCGCGGGGACAGAGGCTGGGAGGGGAGGCCCACCCATGCATATCCAGAGCAGAGCTGCGCCCTAAGTTAGAAGGCCTGGGCTTTAGTCGTGTGGCCTTGGGCAAGCCACTTAGCTTGTCTGTGCCTCAGTTTCCCTGACGTTTAAGTGAGAGATTTGAGAATCTACAAAACCATTTATAGGTCTGCGCATTCTGGTCACGTTTTCCTTCACCATCCCTTGCTCCTCTCTGCTCTGTCCCACACACAGTTCCAGGGTCTCTCCTAAACTCTTCAGTTTGGAAGTGATGTGAGCTCGAATCTTCCTCCTCTTTCTACCTCCTTGAATGCTCTTTAATTGACTTTTATTCAGTGATTCGGAGGAGTTGAAGTCCTTCTCAATACTTCCACCAGTTATCGTCATAGATTATTTTTTAACTAAAATTTTGTTACTGAGAAAAACATTTTTTTTTTTTTTTACTTTAGGCAAATACTAACATCCCTATTTTGTCAAGAGGTGAGCCAGTGCCCATAGAGCCATTGAAGAATTTCAAGATTTCTTTTTAAAGGCATTCGTAGCCTTTTTGTCTTAAATCTCATAGTTATATTCATCCTAACAAAACCCAGAGAGGGCCAAAGAAAGAATGTACTCAAATAAAGGCACACCTTTATTGGATCCACAAGAATAGAAAGTTTGAGAACATCTGGCTAGAATTTCTCTTTTAATGGGAATTCTGTTTTACTCATTCTCATGTACTGAGTCCTTTGCAGACAATATAGTACCAAGCTATTATTCAATAAGTAGTAAATGGATGCTCATTTTAGTCAGTACCACATATTTCAATTCATCATTAAGTCAATATCATAAATGCATAGGGGTCGCTAAACAAAAAAACTCAAGTTTGGGAGGCCAAGGTGGGCAGATCACGAGGTCAGGAGTCCGAGACCAGCCTGATAAATATGCTGAAACCCCGTCCCTACTAAAAATACAAAACTTAGCTGGGTGTGGTGGCAATTGCCTGTCCCAGCTACTTAGGAGGCTGAGGCAGCAGAATCGCTAGAACCCAGGAGGCAGAGGTTGCAGTGAGCTGAGAGCGTGCCACTGCACTCCAGCCTGGGCGACAGAGCGAGACTCCGTCTCAAAAAAACAAACAAAAAACCAAAACAGAAAACTCAAGTTTCTATATTTTGTAGGATCAAGAGCTATTACACAGAAAAACTCATACTAAGTGGTTTTTGCCAGTAGCTAAATTTTCCTGTTTTATAGGTTAATGAATGTAAACATTTTAGGAATTTGGATCATTTTCCCTCTAACAGATTAAAAATCAAGAAATATAAACCAGATGTAGCAGTTTCTTGACATGGAGAACCAAGCCCATAATACAATGGGGTAAGTGCTGAGAAATTTCTGTTTTATAAATATGTACTTAACTATGCCAAAAACTTCCTGAGAACACATGAATTTTGAAATTTACTATAAAGAGAAGGATATGCCAATATTTTTGGTGAGGCAGATGAGAGGAAATATCAAGTGACTGTAATTAAGGATTATAATGCGAGAGTTTCTGATTTTGACACTACAGATCTGCACTCAGAAAATCACTGTTTTCCAACTCTTAGTGACTGTCCAATATCTAAGGGTGATGGATGCTGAGGCAGGCCTCATGTGCTCTTCTATTACCACAATGCAACCTCTCTTCGACAGCTTGCTCCTTTTTTGCTGCATTATCTCAAGTTTCCCTCTACTCTTGCCCCTTAAGGCTGAACTCAACACTTAAACATAGGCTGAGAATAGATCCAACTCTGTAAAAACATCATCAAGAACTAGATATTTTACCAAAAGTTTCACGAAGAGATAAAAATAAAATTTGTATAGCATTTGTCATTGTAGAAATCAAATTCCTGTTCACAAATATCTGTCCTAACTCTTTACCTGCTACTAGCATCACAGAGTTTTGTCTTCCAATCACTAGCCGACTGACCACTGGCTGAACACAGCGTTTGGGGAATGAGGGGGTGAAGGGGTGGCTGTATAGTGCCTAATCTTGATTGCAGCTGACTTTGGCACTAGTCACACCACTTCAGTTGTCTCACTTTCAGAAATTCTGCCCAGACCATAACTTTAATGTCAGGCTGAAAGAAAGCTGCACAAGTTTGAATAATAATCATAGCTATCACTTTTTAGCTGCTACTGCATACTCCTTCTTACAACAGCCCTGCTAGGTATTATTCTCGTTTTATAACTAAGAAAAGTAAATATATTACAGTACAGTCTAAGCTCTTATAACAAAGAGACTCCAAAAACAGCAGCTTAAGTAAGATTGAAGATTATTTCTGTTTCATATACTTGTCACAGGTGCTATGCTCGCCCAAGACGCGCAGACCAGGATTGGTTTGGCAACTCTGCCATCTTCACTAACAATTTCTATCTCTAGGACCAAAGTGGTTGTTTCAGCTCCTACCATCATAAGTGTGCTCTGTCATCATGACTGTGCTCCTTCCATAGGGAAGGAGAAGGGCAAAGAGGAGAGAGTAAGACATTTTCTTTTAGGAGTATAACATGGAAATGGCAGGTCTCACTGCTGTTCATTTTCCATTGGCCAGAACTTAATCCCAGAGTTACAACTAACAGCAAGGAAGACTGGGAAATATGGTCTGTAACTAGGCAACCATATGATCAGACGAAGCTTAGAAGTTCTAGAACAAAGGAGGAAGAATGGATATTGGTGAAAAACTAGCATCCTCTACCACATTCAGCCTCAGAAAGGTAGAAAGACCCAAAAAAGCAGGAGCTCATCCTAGAATATACACCAGGTTAGTAAAGAAAGTAGGATTTGAATTCAGGTATGCCTGGCTCCAATCCCTGTGTTCCTTTCTGCATTGGAAATGGGTGGCAATGAGATGCAGGGAGCAGCCTGCCTGGTATCCATAGTAGAGCCAAGTTAGGATTCTGGGTTAAGTATGTGTTGGGTCCGTGGTGTGATGATAGCACTAAGAGTTAAGATGCAGATTGAAGATGTTGAACCTAAGGTTGGGTACCACCTATCACTTCACTCCTGCAAATCCAAGGCTATGGAGTCATTTAAGAAACAGACCTTGTCCTTAAAGAACTTAGAATTTAGTAAGGAACAGTAGAACTTGTTTGGGTATGGTGTAATTACAACCCCCCAAGTTAATGAGAGTTATTAGAGGTTTTCCTGAGGTATTGTTCCACTGATCACAGTAGACATGGGGCCAGACACTGCCTACCATGGTCTCCAAAGCATGGAGACCCCAGGTTGGCACTGCCTCAGTCCCACATGCTATTGAGAAGTATGTATGAATCCAGATCATGAATACAATAAAATTTCATCATCAGGGGCTTGTTATGTAGCTTATTAAATCATGTCACCTACCTATACAGTAATGTTTTGTGGAACAGCCTACATTTAACAGATACTTATTTAGAGTCCACTGTGAGCTACTTACTGGTCTAGGCACCAGGAAGGTAGCAGTGAACAAAATAGACAACTGTT